TATATATATATATATATATATGTATATATGTATATATATAACATGACATACCCAAATATCTGACTGAACAGTTGAGTTGCTTAGTGGATAATGTAGGCGCCAGGTTTTGAGAAGAAGAAAGAATGTGTAGACGATATTTCTGCTTCATCAATTTTTAAACTGTCTATTATGATTTTAACAATGTTGTAGTTGTAGGTTGCTAAACATAGTTGTTGGTCTGTTTTCTTGCTATTGAGTGTTGACTCTGCTGGTCTTTTTGCTTTTGCAAACTAAATGTTGATTCTGTCCTGGATTTTCTCTGGAACAATTGTGCGATGTGAGAACATAACATGAAACTTGTTAGTCCCTTTCTTAACCAAGCTCTCTGCTGTACAGCTGTGTGTCATCTAGTGTCTCCTGATTAAATTCTATTTTAGGCTCCAGCCCCGAAACAAGTTGTGTGGAGGATAATTGAATAATAGAAAAGTAATCTTGATGATGTTTGTTCTGCAGCTTGTTGCTAGTGTCGAAATTCTTCGAGCATCACCCGTTTACCCAGGAGGAGGTCTCGTCAGAGGGAACCACCCCCCTGTCTGAGGCCTGTCCATCACTCCCCCCATCAGACTCCACTGGGTGAGTACTCCACCTTCACACTCCTCAGTGGAGGAGTAATTCTCCTCTTAATGTGCAGTGTATGTTCAACAACATTGTTTTTTTACTCGGAGTGCTTAAAATAATGACAGAAATGTGAATATCTCTGCAAGTCCCAAAAAGTCGGTCTACTTTTCACTTACTAAATTCATCTTTCCAGTTCTATATGCCACACCACTGTGTCCCCGTCCAAGTCCATACCCATCCCGCCCAGTTTCCGGCCCAATGAGGAAGACCACCGCAACCAGTTTGGCCAGCGGGACCGCTCGTCTTCAGCCCCAAACGTCCATATCAATACAATTGAGCCTGTCAACATCGATGTGAGTCTGCTACCACTTTGTTGGACTGATTCTGATTGATATATGCTTCTCAGCCATTTACTATGATTGGCTACCATGACTGCATGTTTTGGTCCAACCAAACAGAAGCTGATACTACTGATTAACACACCTTAACCAGAGAAAAGGAGCTAACCAACTAGAAGCAGCAGTTACATTTGGCAGATTTTAATAGCGGATATCATCTGTTATTTTTTGACAAACTGTGACCTTTTTATGCACTTTTAACAAATTCATTTTCATGATGTACGCATTTCAAACGTCGTACAAAAAAGGAAAAGATAACTCTAAATATTGGCCAGCCCTATGCCACTTGTTCTTTAAAATTGCAACCTGTAAAAACCTGAATGTAGTCTACATCAAACCAGTATTTTCCCCGAGCAGCCTGTAGACAATGCAGTGTTTCCCACAAGATTTTGTGTCGCAGCAAAGAAGTCGTCGCCACAAAGCATGGTAAACGAGACAGGGTCCTTGTTTCAAGATTGCTCGGATGGGTTGCCGACATCCCTTCAGGACACATTGAGGACAGTCCACCCGGTAGACAGTTGCGTAGGGAGCAGGGGCCACGTCCCTCCCCAAAGGTAGAAAAGGCACAGCAAGCACTAATTCCACAGCCCTTGAACGCGGTGAAATCCAGGTAAGCGGGTCTGTAAAGCTTAAGGCCGGAGCCCCGAGCCACCTTCATCCTGGGCCTTTCCAAGCCGACCTAGAGCCGGTCACAGCGCACCGCCACAGAGAAAAGCACCCGGCAAAGGCCAGCCAACGCCGGGGAGTGATCCCACAAGGGAACCCTCCCACACAGAGTAGCGGTACCCGGTTCTGCAGAGTTGAATCCCCCAGGCAAACTGTGTGGACCCCACCCACTGAGAATGGTACAAATATTTTCGTTTCATTATGAAACTGTGGCGGGCCTGCCTCGACTGTGTTTTATCTTGGTAAATAATGGACTGCAAAAAACATGAAAAAGTGATTTAGTGTGGAAAATGGAAAACAGAGCTTTTGGAAAACGATGATGTAAGCACTATATTATTCATGGCCTCCGCCTAGTTCCACTCAGTTCAGTACACTGTTTTGTAAAGGTAAGGCTGTTTGCTTCCCTTTTTATGAAGCAACTCTCATGTCACTGAATATAAACTTCAGTTCTACAGCATCATTTAGAATTGGGATACATTTGTTTGAATGAACTAGAACAAATTATGTTCCTTCTTATTCATTTGAACATTTATTTGTTTGAAAAAGTGGCAGTCCTAGTTTGTGCTACAGTTGAGACTCTAGATGAATGTTCATGAAGTGGATTCATTCAAATGTGTACAACTCATGTGGATACATCCTGGCCGCCTTCATTTTTGCCACCTATAGCGAATGTCACTCTTAACCCTAAAATTGACTTGACATTCAGTGTGAACAAACCTTCAGTACTGGCATTGCTTCTGAAACATGTATAAACCTCAACCTATAAACAGTTCATAAGAATGCTGCTACGGTAAACAGTGCAGTACATTTTGTCTGTGTGTGTGAAAAGTATTTACAGTATATTGTTAATTTCTCCTGTCCCTTCTTTTCAGGACCTGATTCGAGATCAGGGCTTGCCAAGGTCAGATGGAGGTAAGGATCAAAATAGGACTTGTTTCTCCTTCTGTGTCTTTTTTCCCACCATCCCGCGTCTGCGTGCTCTTGGTCTTTTGTGTGTGTGTGTGTGTGTGTGTGTGTGTGTGTGTGTGTGTGTGTGT